ACCCATCCTTTGATGGGGTTTGTCCGTTGTCACTTGGTAATCCATATATATTATGTTTAGCAAAGATTGGATTTGGACATGACAACTTTCCATAATCTTTACTAAGCCGGTTCCAATTTAGAAATGTCATTGGAATAGTTACAATTCTTCTTTATGCTATGATCAAACGAACGATGAAATACTAGGTTTATTACTTGTTTTAACTTCATTCTTAATTATGGCATTGTTTTACAGAACAAATCATAGTTAAAATGTCCTCAAAATCGCAAAAAGAAAACCTGCAGCTCAATCAATCTGATAAAAACTAGTAAAATACCCAAAATGGTTACATTAAGTTTTTCCTCAAAATTTCAACATATCATCACTGCCCAAAAAATGCAGGCTGTGAAGATGATTCAACTTCTAAGGAAAAGCAAAAAAAGTCTCGACCATTTATTCATGCCGTTGAGTTTCTAACTTTGGAACTGCTAGATGAACCGCGCTTTATTTCATTCAATTGCGCAGATGAGGAGTAGTACAGGTGATATCTCTCCTGATTTAGTGTGCTCGTGAAAAAATGACGAGAGATTTCCAGTGAAACGTAAGGCTCTTCTTCTTTGATGGTAGCCAACATCTTTGTCAGTGGCCGTTTCATTACAGAAATAAATTGTGGTGGAGCAACCTCCATTGTCAAAGCTGCTTTTGGTACTTTGGCCATCATGTCTTTTGAAGATAAACTGCCAGAACTAAAGGATGAGAGATGAGACCACAAGACACAAGAAAAGTTTGTGAAGAAGGTGGTTTGTGAAGTAGAAAGAGCACTACTGTGGTGAATTTATAGGCATAGACGCCATAGTACCGTCTGTCATACGGTATTGTGGACGGCACTGCCGACCCCAACTTTTTTTTTTTGGTATTAATCGTACAAGATTGTTATCTTAGGAAAGAAAAAGACTAGACTGGAGTACAACGACCACGACTAGGGGCTGAGTCACGAATTTGCTTCGGGGGAGAGAAGGCAAATGTAATAAATTGAACAAGATTATGGTAAAAAGTATGGCATAAGTGAAGAAGATATCCAAATAGTCTTAATGTGGCACCTCCACTGACCATGACAGTGGTTCAAAGAGCTCTGCTCGAGTCCGTTATGATTTGGCTGAAACCATGTATTCCTGTAAACTACAAGTCTCACTCAACTCATGACTGAGCCAATGTCGTCAACTTGCAGCCCTCCGATACTATTCTGTGATAGGCATATGACCTAAATCTCTTATAATTTTTTATAATTTATTGTTCAATGTGTAATTCTGTACTATCATCAATATTGTTTTACTACATCATCGATCTCCGGTCATTTCCGAATCAATAGTCGATACTGGGACTTGATCATAACACACGTATGTTACACATATATTTATTAGCTACAAGGGGACCGAACATACGGTTCTAGTCCTAGAAAGTCCTTGTGAGATGCCAACGAAACCCTGGCTTTTGTACCAGAATAGCCAAATCACATAAAATCCACAAAACTTAAACGTGGCTTGATCATGATCATAGATTCTGCATTAACAGTTGGTTTCATATTCTTTTCTTCAATTGAAATGCTTTAGAACAAAACCAAGCCTTTGTCTGATACTACTGGTTCCCCTTTTCTAAGGTAACTTTCATTTTCATTTGCTTTTTCTGCCAGAGAGCAAGGTCATGTAGTCAAGTCCATTCATGACGTCCATGGCTTAATATAGTAGTGGGTCATCGACAAGGAGAGGCTTGATAACCACCTCAGAACTTATCCAAGAGAGGCTTGATCAGCAGGACCAAATCTAATGTAATCTTCCCTTAAAAGTGTGTTTTTTTTCGGTTTAACGGTTAGAGGTGTTTGAACTAGCTTATACATACCTCAACTAATCCCTTCCTCGGTCCTGTTGAGATTTAACATGCTTTAAACCCACAGACAAACACACACGATCGAATAACAAACTAAGAACATAAAGTAATAAGAAACAAAAAAGAACAAGACACAAAGATTTTACGTAATTCGATAATTTGCATATATTCACAAAGCTGCAGGAATTTCACTATTGAGAGAGCAGAATACAGAGGGCGATTTTTAGTTACAATCAAACCCTAAACACCAAACTAGCGGTATTTATATGTCCTGTGTACCGGGCTACAAAACAGGCCAAAAAAATTTTCCGCAAGCTTTCTCTCCGTGGACCAAGCCTCAGAAAATTTTTCATTAAAAAACCACGCAACATTATTTTGGGTTAGGTTATCATCCGGATCAACACGTAAAATAGACTCCACAAAAAGCCTAACAGGTCCTGTCAAAGACAAGTCATTCTCGTCGGGACTAAGATATTCACGAGAAATAAATTTCTCATGACCTGACTCCAATAATTTATCAAGATTCGAACTCAAAACGTTTAAATTTACAATTCATCTTTGTTATCCCTGATCTGCACTTTAGAGTTCTTAAAAGTGTGTATTGTCTACTTCATTCATTTGCCGAACAAGTCAACATAATTTCCATTTTTTTGTATCCATTTGCTTAAAAGATCCTGAATATTTGTGTAATATCCTGTGTATAAGAAAAGATAATAGCTGGAAAAGGAGGGGACTAGACATTCATGGTTTGGTTGCTTTGAATGTCATTTTAGAGATGCTGACATACATCTATATCTCTACATGAACAACTTAGTAAGCTTAAAAGATTTAATTTTGCGCAGCAATTAGTACGTAACAAGCCAATCTTGAAAGATGGCAAAGAGTGAATTTCTCTGGAACTTCATTCAAGATAAAAACTCTTATGCGCTCTTTCAAAGTTAAGGAAGTGCTCCTTATGTGATGTAGTGCCAGTTAAAAGAACCTATCCTAAAAGGTGTGTAATCTGATTAAAAATTTAAAGGGTTTTCATATGCAGTTGATGACCACCACAACTCAATAATAACATTTCTAACATGGGCCAAAATCTTGATTACGATTGGATCTACCGCTCTTTTTTTTTTGGTTCAATAGTCAAAGTTTTCGGAACAGTTTATACACATTTCGAATTACCTTTTACCTAGTTAAAAACTAATTATTCATGTCAGAATTAGAGTATCATAAATTCCTTATGGCTTGATCAAATGGTTGTTAAAATTCAAACTCAAAATATTTGAATTTACAATTCGTTCCTATTATCCATTGATTCGAAGTTTTAAAACTACTTGGTCACTTGAAAATGCCTATTAGAGTTTTCAAGCATAAGCTTGGAGGAATGTTTTGAGTGAGTTCTCGGTTCTGATGCCGAACAGCTCTCCTCCCTATCACATGGGATCGAATCCCCCAAAGACCCAAAAAAAAAAAAAAAAAACAAATTAGAATGGAAAGAAAAGTGCTATTACATACATTTGTCGATAATTAGATTTTTAACTAAATTATGGTTGTTTTGCAACTTTATTTCACTTATTATACCTTATTTATAAACTATCAGTTTATCATTATTTTCATAAAAGCGTATTTTAAACTCCTATTTCTCCCAACCATTCAAAAAAACTCACGCTTTTCAATGTTCAATGTATTTAGTAACACATGTTTTCAAGGTTTTTTTTTATTAGAAGTGTATCTGTAGGCAATGGACATATTTATAGTAAAAAACAGGAGTTCAAATTACAGTTCCATATAAATAATCGTAGATTGAGATATGATGGTGCTTAGCTTAACCTAACTCCAGAATGGTAATTTTATGGTTTAGAAAGATGGTATTGAGAATATATGGATTAGCAATGGATTACGCTGTAAAGACGAATCAAAAACAATATATATAAATGATTCACCTTAGCCGAGAGATTAAAGTTACGTTTACTGTAATGAAGTCTCTTACTCCTTAAGGGTGTACATTTTTTGAAGAAGAAGGTTACAACCGAGTTGTTTTTCATACAATGCTTCAGTAATACCAATGTATCAGTGGGGGAATTGTTCGTCTCTTATGTGTAGTGCGATAATGTTCTATTTATACAGGTGAACCTTGCAGGGCTTCTTACAACCTCTTCTCTCCTTTTTGTTGATTCGGTGGTCTGCTTTTCTTTTGTCTTTTAGTGATTTCTGTCATACGACGTCACTGTGCCCACGATCTTTAGGTGGTTACGTGCACAAATATTCATTTAGCCAAAGGATACATGATCGTTAGAGACTTCAAGAGTTGTCCCTTGGACACGTGATGCAAAGTGGGGCATGTGGGGCCTGGTGAGTATCGAGATCTTTTATTTCGGATTGCTTAACGCTGAGTTTGTTATAACTAAGCAGGTTCATGCCGAATTGGACTTTTTGTTGGACTTCCTCATTCGGGTTATGAGGGCTGTTGTGGATCCTTTTTGACCCATTAGGTGATTTGGGTTTAGGATGAGTAACCTATTCTAAAATCCTACTATTATCAAGATATATTAAAAATCTCAAGTAAGTACAGGAAAAGATTCAATAACCCAAGATCCCACTGCACACAATTAAATTTTAACAAAATATAATTTTTTTTTTGGTTCAAGAGTAAGGGTGTTCGGATTAATTTACGTACAAGTCGACTAATGTTTTCTTCGATTCAATTATAGATAGGTCATCCACGCCAACAGAACACAGCTTCCATGAGTTAAAAATTGATATTATGCTGAAGGAAAATTATCTAAGCATCCATAATTCCATATGGTTAATGTATCCACCTGTAATTTTACCTCCCGCAACTAGTTAAAATTCCATATTTGCCATAGGCAACAACCCTTTTGTGAAACTTTTTTTACCCGGTGAAGAAGTTTCAAATTTCAAAAAAAAACCAACGGTCGTCTCATGTCATAACGGCAAAGTGAATGTTTCCTCGGAGCGAAATCAACGGCATCTCAGATGATACTCTCTCTCTCTCTCTCTCTCTCTCTGAGTAGTGAATTAAAGATAGAAAAGCATTGAATCCGCCTCTTTTCTCTTTACTCTTTTTCTCCAAAACCTCAAGTCTTTGATTACTATACTTTTTCAATTCAAACTGTTTCTCTTTATCAATGGAAGATGGTCAATGGCACGACCCACTTCTTATCACTGATGTTTCTTGCCAACAACAACGACATCAACATCTCCTTGGTAAGATTATCAGTTACTCTTTGTGCTTATTTTTCTATATGGGTTCTCTAATTGTTTGAGTCTCTTTCCATTGGCAGACCCTTTACTCTCATTTCCCAGCTTGCAAAGTGCGGTAATGGCAGATTTAGACAATTCAAGTCCTAACAAGATTGATGGTAATGCCCTGAGATTTTCGTTGGGATACGTGTTTGATACATATAATAGTTTTTCGTTTCTACTTAATTTGAACCTTCCTTGTGCTAAAAGATTGCAATCTGTTTCTTTAGGATTAGAAACTGGTTCCTGGAAAAATCGAAGCTTAGAAGCCACCAGTGGTGAAAATGTCAGCGACCCAAGTGCAGACAATGTATTTGATGGTAGAAATAGCAAGAAAGTTTAGGTCCTATTTCATATGTGTATGTTGATTCTGCCTTTGATTCTGATTCAGTTATATTTTCTTGTTTCTAATTTTAGGTCGGTCCATGTTGGGGTTTTCTTTAACCTCACCTGATTTGGTTATATGTGCTGGCTCACCCGATATAGCTACTAGGCACGGCTATGAAGATTCACCACAATGCTTGAAGTGTTCCTCCGTTGAGGTCTCTTTAGAAAATGGAATCAATGGATCTGAAATTAAAGATTCTACTGAGACTCCAGCTGCTGCAAAATTTTCAACGTTGTCGAACGAATACATATGTCCTCAAGATTCTTTTGAGCTTCCTCCACCACCTGCTACTGAAGAAAATTCTCCAAAAGATTCAATTTCTGTTGTGAATATCAATGCAGGATCAACTGATAGCGCAGTGGTTTTGGGCAGGAAAATGTTTTCAGAAGATAATTGTTTCAATGGTGGGGATACAATAAGGACTGACACTATAACTGGGAGTGTAGAAGGCGCTGCTCTTTATCAGACAGCTCGTTTTGGAAATTTCTCGTACCATTTCAAGACTTTGGAGTCTGGAAATTACAGGGTTGATCTGCACTTTGCAGAGATTGTCTTCACCGATGGCCCTCCTGGGATGAGAGTGTTTGATATCTTTGTACAAGAATACAAGGTAAGAAGCCGTGGGGCACACATTAAAAGCCAAATTACGTCCATTAATAACCACAGTTACTCCATTTTCAGGCTTCCTTAAATGCCCTAGTTTTATGAAATATTTTTGTTGGTATTGTAGGTGATTTCTTGCTTAGACGTTTATGAACGCGTTGGTGCAAATAGACCTCTAGTTATATCTGATTTGAAAACTTCTGTTAATGGTGAAGAGGGATTGTCAATTAGATTTGAAGGAGTAACTGGAAGCCCAATTTTATGTGGAATCTGTGTGAGGAAATATTCTTCTGCAAGTAAGTAGAAATCTTTCTCTAGAAGTCCTTAAATGTGTCCTACAAGGACTTATTTATGATATCTCCAACAAAATTTGAAACCTTGCCATTGAGCCTTCTCAACTTTTTGATAAATTACATTATGTGATTTGTGTAACAGCTTTTGGAGAAGTGGAACTGCTTAAAGTTATGGGAATGGCTCAACAGCAACAATGCGAGTTGCCAAAAGTAGTAAGTACTCTTCAAAAACCAACGGTATTTGTTTTCCTAAGAAATAAATATTCATTGAATCAACTTTCTTGGTGTCTCTAAGGGGGAAGGAGAATTTGGTAAACTTCAAATAGACTACGAGTATCAGAAAAAAGAACTAGTTGAAGCTAAGAGGGCTTTAGAGGAGCTTAAGCGGGAGAATGAACTTAAGAGCAGAGAATGCCAAAAAGCTTGCAAGTCTTTACAGGATCTCCAGAATGAGCTCATGCGCAAATCGATGCATGTTGGATCACTAGGTGTGTAATATTTTTTTCTTGTGCATTACAAGTATTTTCAGTATTTGGAAATTCCTTGGGTTGATGTTTTTCTTTTCACAGCTTTTGCCATTGAGGGACAAGTGAAAGAAAAGAGCAGATGGTTTGCATCTTTGAGAGACCTAAAAAGAAAATTGAAGGTAGTAAAAAAACCTTCAATATGGGTTTACTCTGATTAAGAAAATTCATGTTACATTGGATTGGGTTTTCTTCTTTTTTTCTTTCAACAGATTTTGAAAATGGATCAACTCAAGCTTTCAGAGGAAGCATTGTCATATAAGAAATGCCTGGCAGAAATGAATGATATGTGCTCTATCGTTCAGTCGAAAAGTAAATTTACGTGCCTATTTGGTTGTAGTTTCCAATTTTCTATACATTTGGTTTCTTTTTCTTAATTCACCCTCTTCTGTTGGTAGTTAAACAGCAAATAGAATTACATGAAGATCTTAAGATCAAATTTGTCAAAGGGGCCAAGGAACGGAAAGAACTTTACAACAAGGTCTTGGAACTGAAAGGTTAGCGCAAGTTAGTTCGTACTTGAATATTGACTGACAGTTAGGTTACTAACAAATGGTCAGTCGTTAATGATGATTCTATCAGGAAATATTAGGGTCTTTTGCCGGTGTAGGCCTTTGAACGCTGAAGAGATTGCTGCTGGAACTTCAATGATAGTTGATTTTGAAGCTGCAAAGGACGATGAGCTTACAGTAAGATCAAATGGGGTATCCAAGAAGACCTTCAAGTTTGATGCTGTTTTTAGCCCGCAAGCAGACCAATGTAACTACAAAGGGATGCAAGATTTCCTAACAACAATGTTTCATTTCAATCTTTGCATCTAATACATATGTTGTCTCTTTTTGCTTCTTGTTTGTGTAGTTGATGTTTTTGAGGATACTGCCCCATTTGCAACCTCAGTTCTAGATGGGTACAATGTGTGCATCTTTGCTTATGGACAGACAGGAACTGGGAAGACTTTTACAATGGAGGGCACAGATGAAGCCCGTGGGGTTAATTATCGAACTCTTGAGGAGTTATTTCGCATCATTCAAGAGAGAAAGAGTACGTATCAGTATGAAATATCTGTGAGCGTCTTGGAAGTTTATAATGAGCAGATACGAGATTTGCTAGTTTCTGGATCACAGCCAGGAGTGACTGCAAAAAGGTAGCTCAAACTGCGTATAGGAAGTTCTTGGTTATTTTTTTCTTTATATTTTTGTTCTTAATTTTTTCTTGGCATTTAGAAACCATTCTCTAGCTTTTGCAAGCAAAACACTATTTGCATTTCAGCCCTCAAAAGCAAGAAAAACCATACATAAACTATTCCATCCAAAAAATTCATGTAAGAGGCAAAAAAAAACCTGTCAAGAGTTCGATTTGAATTTTGATTTGAGAGCAAAACACTCTGATGCCTAAGTCAGTAATGGTTTTGAAAGAAAGCAAAGGAATATGCAGGGACTTTTTTGTGCACCTTTGACTCAGGCTGTCAAGCATAATCTGGTTTTTATGAGGTACGACAAGGTCTATGCCATGACTTTAACTTTTCGACGTATTACGTGTCACACCTAATATTTAGCCAAATCCTTTTTGGATGCTAGGATCTCTCCTAAACTTTTTCTCTGTTATGTCTGTTTATAAGGGCGGGGTGAATATTTTCCTATGATTAAGGCAGCATTCCCGTCAATTCTGCATTGTCTTACTCTCTTGCTTGTTGAAGGTTCTCTCTAAAAGGCTGTTTTTTTTTGTGTTGTGCTGTGCTGTTTGATTTGACAGCTCGGCCCATTGACCCGAGCATTGATTGATAATCTACTTGGCCTGACTGTGGTTGATATTGTATTTTTTGCATATGCTTTTTGTTATGTGTTTCAGGGCACATGATCTCATTAACTATCCTAATCATGTGTAGCCATATAATGCCCCTTCACTAGTGACGAGATTTTCAAGCAATTATCATTGGCTGATAGAGTTTCTTCCTTGTTATTTTTACCTGACGTTTCAGTCTTCAAGCATTTAAATTGTGACCTAACTAGTTCTGCTATGTGAAGTTTTTCAAGAATAGTAGTAAAACTAATAAGAGTGCATGACTTAGGCCACTTGTTCCAATTATCATTTATTAAAATCTTGTTAACAATATCATTGCTTGTAGGCTTGAAATAAGGCAAGTAGCTGAAGGTGTACATCATGTCCCAGGACTGGTTGAAGCTCATGTGAACAACATGAATGAGGTCTGGGAAGTTCTACAGACCGGTAGTAATGGCAGGGCTGTTGGATCAACCAATGCTAATGAGCACAGTAGCCGATCCCATTGGTTCGTCTCATGCTCTAAAACTTGGTTCATTCTATGAAAAATTGTCATTGTGTCAAAGGGCACACTATTGAATGTCAGATGTGATACTTTGCCAATGCAGCATACATTGTGTGATGGTGAAGGGGGAGAACTTGTTGAATGGGGAATGCACAAGAAGTAAGCTATGGCTAGTTGACTTAGCGGGAAGTGAGCGTATAGCCAAAACAGAAGTACAAGGTGAAAGATTGAAAGAAGCCCTGAACATTAACAGATCTCTTTCTGCACTTGGGGATGTCATATCTGCTCTTGCAACAAAGAGTGCACACATCCCTTTCAGGTATTGATACTAATTTTTCACTTGTAAAATAAGAGTCCTATATTTGATTATTGCCATTCGAGGGCGGGCCTTGGCGTAATGGTAAGGTTGTGCTCCATTGTAACCTGGAGGTCACGGTTTTAAGTCGCGAAGACAGCGTAAGACTGTGTATATCTAACACTCTCTAGATCCTAAAATAACGGGAGCCTCGTGCGCTAGATATGCCTTTTTTATTTGATTATTGCCCTTCTGACTTTGTTCTTCTGGGTATTGTGCAGGAACTCCAAGCTCACTCATTTGCTTCAAGACTCTTTAGGTATTTTGTTTAGTTTTAAGAGAAATTGAAGTGAAAGAAAGTAATTTTTGACCTTTTTAACTTCTTTTTTTCCCCGGGAAACTAGAATTAATATGCAACATTTGAATTTAGTCATACCCAGAAATGGAAAAAACTACTTTGATATGAATTTGCATTTTATAGGAGGAGATTCGAAGACACTGATGTTTGTACAGATCAGTCCCAATGAGAATGACCTGAGTGAGACTCTTTGTTCACTGAATTTTGCAAGCAGAGTGAGAGGCATAGAGTTGGGTCCAGCAAAGAAGCAATTAGACAGCTCTGAGCTTCTAAAATACAAACAAATGGTACCAATAATATTTTTTTTTTATCAATAATAGCATTCTACTATAACAAGTTTTCTTTTTTACATAAAAGAGTTATCTCACTCAGTCATCCTCATTACCATCTATGTTTACCTGCTTCTTTTTTTTTTGACAAATCTGTTCTCTTGCTAGTTTGAAAAGGTCAAGCAAGATATGAAGAGCAAGGATTTTCAGTTTAAGAAGATGGAGGACACCATTCATGGTTTGGACACGAGGATAAAGGAGAAGGATTTGAGAAACAAGAACCTGCAAGATAAGGTATGCAATACAGATCTTCTAGTGAAATTGATAGAGATTGAAATTTTTATTTTGGTAGCAAACTTGGTCTGTAAATATTGATGTAAGTTCTACTATTTCATGGTAGAGAAATTATGAATAAGAATTTCATGGTAGAGAGATTATGAATAAGAATTGAGTATTTTTTGCGGAGATTTTTGTGTTTTTTGACAGATTTCTTATGAGAATGAGGTAAATCCCTTCCTTCTTTTAGACCTACAGCAGAAATTTACCCAGCAAAGTCAAGCCTTTATCAGAACTTTCAGGGCAGAAAGTTACTAGCAGATTGTGTTTTCTGTTGAAATTATAATTTATTTGGATTCATTCTGCAGATTAAAGAATTGGAATCACAACTTTTAATAGAGAGAAAGCTAGCAAGGCAGCATGTGGATACGAAAATAGCGGAACAGCAGCAGCTGAGACAACAGCAAGAAGAGCCAAATTCTGCACTTGTAAAGCCACCTTTTGCGGCTAGACCATTTGGCATTAATAAGAACTTTAGTGAAGGCAAAGAACAAATAGATTTCACCAGACCACTTACTGAGAACAACAGCTGCAAACCTCCCATGGCGCCTCATCCTCCGGTGGATGGCTTTGACACGTACAATGATTGTGCAGAAAAGGAAAATAATCCTAAGATGGCTGAACAACAACCATTGCTGCCAAAGCGGACTGGCAGAGCTTCTCTCTGCCCGACAGCACAGAGGATTTTAGCTGTACCAGCGCCAAGGCGCAACTCCCTAATTCCTTTACCAATATCAGGGACAGCCAAGTTGCCTTCATCACTGTTACCACTGACACCAATTCAAGCTGACATGAAAGCAGATGTGTCTGAGGTTGAAGCTAAAGGCTTCCTTGAACCCACACCTTGGGATAGTCCTAAAGACCGCAAAAGTGGAACTAAGAAGCTGAGCAGTATATTGAGACGAAGCCTTCAAAAGAAAGTTCAAATAAAGTCTCCAATGCAGCAACACCTAAGAAGGGGCGGTGTAAACGTGGGGATGGAGAAGGTTAGAGTTTCTATTGGAAGCAGAGGGAGGATGGCTCATAGAGTATTGTCTGGCAATGCTAGAAGAACAGCAAAGGATACTCAGCAGAAGCCAAGCCAGAAGGCAAAGGAAAGAGGGTGGAGTATGGCAACGGTGGGGAGAACTGTTGTATAAATTTGGTTAGCTAACAATAGACTCTGTTTCCTGTTGCATGCTACTATAGAAAGGTACCAATGGATGGGGAAAAAAATAGAGCTTAGAAATAGTGGTCTCGATTATTTTTTTTGGATGATGCTGATCATCTGAGTGAAATTTTCTACTTTAACTGAAATGGTTTGACTGATGTATATAACTACTCTTTCGGAATGACATTTCTGTGATGGTTGACAGTGTGGATCTAATGAGCTTCTTTCGACACCCTGATATCAGCCATTGTGTATATATGTAATCCAATCCTCTGAAAGAAACCACAGACCAGAGATGTTGTAAGATATGTAGGAATTGTTGTGCTTAAAGTTGATGAGGCAGAGGCATTTACGATTTGCTGTTTCTGTGGATTGATGATATCTTTCTAATCGTTACCAAATTAGAAACATTTTTGTCAACAATATCCGTAGAGAAAAGATGACAAATGCTTTGAACACCTTCAAAAATCAATAAGGCATTTCTATTGCACAATGCTAATATATTATCACCCTTTAACATGGAAGGTTCCGATCCAAAAATTGCGAGTCCATTTGCTAACGATTCTTTCTTCTCTCTGTCTGTGCATTTGTATACCTATAAAAAGTTGAGTTGTTCTCCGGAACCCCTGTATATAGCTATAGCTCTTGATGGTCAGTTTGCACAAATTCTCCACATAGCCCGTCAAAATTGATACCAAAGTATTTGAAGAAGGCCAATCACAGTGAAAGCTTCCTCAGCCTGAAAAATATTTTACCCTCGTGTTAGCTGCAAAGGACTAGAAAAACTTGCCAAAAAAGGACTAGTAGAAGTTCTGCCAAAAAGTGAGTTTCTCAGAGCAGAGCGTAGTTAAGTACCAAAGCGCGGCTAGTGATGGCCATGCTCTTAGCCATGAGCTAACGTCTTTTATGGGAGATTCTGAGACCAGTCCCTCCATTTTCATCTCAACCAAAGGATCCATTTCATTGACAAATTTCACTGATTCTGACAGTCGACTGAGAAGATTTACAAGTGCAATCACCTCATTTCTTTGCAGCTGCAGCTGCGTAAGACCAGTAACAGAATTTGAGAGAGAGAGAGAGAGAGAAAGAGTTCCCAACATTAAAGTCTCAAGACATGAGTTTGGAGATTCATGAAGATAAAGGAAACTCACTGGTTGATGTGGATGGTTCTGACCGTTGACAGAGAAAAGGATCTTCAATGCCGTTCCAAGACCTAAGACCTGAAGCTTTCCCCAAAGGCGACATTTTTCACATCCTACACAATCCATCAGTGCACTGCATATGTAGAATGTAGGTAAAGTGAGGTTTAAACTAAATTATCAAGAAGCAGGAAGTAATAGCTCACACTCTAAAGCATCCCATGCATAGAAAGTTGGAAAGTGCTGTTAGCATTGACCATTACTGTCAAGCTATACATCACGAACCTTCAAACTCATATATAGTAAGATAAAAAGGATTTACGATATAAATTTTTAACATGAAGATTGGATAACCAAAAATTGAAAATATACTGCAATAAGGGGCCTGCTGGTTGAAGTATGCAAGTGAACAGAACTGGTGTATTCAAATCTACAGTTTCTTTTGTTTGCTTCTTTGAGTGGTTATATCCATCAGCATGCCAAGTTGATACAAAATGTGAGCACTCGAAGGAAGTATGTGGAAGTGAAATATCAAAAAATCAAAACATCCATCTGTTAGTGCTTTCACCCTGGCTTTTGATTCTGTTTTATAGAAATCTGAGGAAATTGTTTTGATAGTTAATGTAGAAAGGTGAGGCACTTTACCCAACATATGGAATAGCTTTCAAAAGACGACCAAGGGACAGAGGGATCTTGAATGAAGTCATATGACCAACGGGAATGGAATGTGGATCACATGGGTGATCATGTCTTGTAAGTTATAATATGAGAGTAAATGGCAGGTAAAGTCATTAAATTAGTCATTTTGATCGAATAACTGCAAGTGGACTGGGTTATGCCCTTAACCTGACTAAGACCATAGCCATGGATACTTCAACCAAAAAAGGTAGCCCCTCTTAAAGTTGAAAGAAATACAGCCTCAACCCACTTGCGCTCATGCGGGAATAGAAACTGTTAATGTTGTTGCTCCCTCTCTCTCTCTTCTCACCCCCCCCCCCCTCTCTCTCTACACATTGAGATTGGATTGGTGTTAATATACATTTGTACAATAATACAAAGAATGCATGGGGTGGATGCCCCAGAATTGAGAAGAAAGGGCAGAATCGATAAATAAACTAGCAAATAAGAGTTCAGACGGAAACCTAATGTTTCTGAATTGCTTTTGAATCTGCTGCCTCAGTTCAGGTTCACTTTGGCCATGCCACAATTTAGCTTCATCAAATGGAAGGGGACATGCAGCTTGAAGTTTGGGATTGTAAAGTAGCTGCCGCATCAAGGACTGGGCTTTCAGGTCCTCCTCATGGTTACCCGTGTCATATTCTGCCTGCTCCAAGTAATCTGCTGCCTGTAAGAGTGAGACAAATGACCATGGGAACACTTGGAAAGCAAACATCATAGGAGTTCCCAAAACAAGGATAAGCAGTGAGTACTAACTTTTGTCACGGCTCGGAGAACAAAGAGGAAAGTGAAATACAAATTTCTGACACGATCAGGATATCCCAAAACGCGGCCGTACATCAATTCAAGATTATTACCCCACTGAAATTGCAGCAAAGGAATTGTCAGATTCCTCATCAATTCTATAAAGAGCAAAATTTAAAGTCCTTGTTGGGATTAAGGCAAGAAAAATTCCCATCATCAATATTGCAGGCATCCCATCCATTTCCCAGTGGTAGAGATTAAACAATAAAGCCGCGGCTCCAGTTATAGGAACAAAATGATTTCAATTGTCTTATCTTGCAGAAGATCCAAACAGCATAAAATGTAAAACGAGAAAATGTATACAGGATATAAAGCATATTACAAACCAGGTTGGTAGTTTCATCAAGGAGATAATCAGCACCTATGTGAATCGAAATTGAGGAGTGAAGACCAGAAATTAACTTGTATAACACTTTCTTCTCCTGGCAAGCCTCTCCAGTTGAATCTGTGAAAAAACCCTGATGTCAAATTTCAATACCAGAACAGAACAAAAATCCAATTTAAATACAATATTATACTACAATCGTATTCACCACAGGGGAAGAGGGAAAAACCAACGCAGAGATGGCTAATAGCACTCGACTCACAATTCTTCTTTTTCCTTTCCTTTTTTCTTTTTCTGGGTTAATGAAGACTAAAATTAGCTAAAACTAGCATAGATACCAAATCATAAAGACTGCCATTATTCAAAGGGAAAACCACTGCATGTGTTGTATGACCACTTGTACATAAGATTATTACAGTGCTGAAATTGTTAACAATTCTGATGAACTTTCTTCAAATAGGGAGTTTGAGTGCACCAACTCAGTTACTCAAAGGACAACAACAGAGAGCCAGCAAGACATCTTGACATCCTTAAATGAACAAAGGCTCAAGTTGGCTCAACCAGTAACCACTTGAGAAAAATAGTTTTGACATCATTTTAGCTAGGTGCTTGAAATATATCATCTGATAGGGTTTCGAATTATAGTTACCCAAAAGGTCAACTTAACCACCTAAACTAATCAAAACTCACATTTTGGACAATTTTCTGAATATATAGCATCCCATATCCTTCTGGCAGATGGTCCAGTATAGCCGGTGTAACGTTCAGGGTTCAGCTGGAGATTCACATATGTCATCTCACCTGCAGATTGAATAAAATAGTTGATCTTTTAGTGAAAGGAACAACAATCATATCTCACAAGAAAATAAGCCAATAAAACAGCATTAATGTTCAGTGTTCAGTTTACAGTTGAAATATTCGTAAATACCAATACCCATAATTACATTGTATATAAATATAATAAAAAAAGAAGTAGAATGAAAGTTATAACACAGAATCACCTCTCAGGCTAATTCGAAAGCTAATCAATAATTTCACATTTTTGGGAGTTCAATAAACAGTTATCTTATTGAGAGTGCAAAAATTTGATAAACAATGAAAAATAAGCGAGCAACACGCATCAAAAAAGACGACAGTTACCGTTATCAGTCTCATCATCATGTGTCCACGGATTATCTATTTCTATCCAACCTCTGAAAGCCATAGTGTCTAGCGTGCGGTCAACAGTAGCCTGGGGATTTCCCTCTTGACACACCAAGTCATCCAATGGAAGACCAAGCAATGATGGCTTCTTAAAAGGTTCAGGAAATTCATTTTCTGGGCATTCACATACACTGCAATCACGCAAATGGCACATACCATCATCAGGCCAGAAAGGGCAATCACACCATAATTTAACCTGCCAATGAAAACAAGAACATCAGCTAATACTACAGCAAGACACCAAAGAAGTATAATTTAAAAAGAACATAACAACCTTTAGCCTTGGTTTTGGCTTACATCATATTTATAGGACATACACTCAAGCCATTCCCTCATCTGAACTGTTGCCAAATACATCATACAAAGGAAATTTGCAGGCACAACAATTTCTTGACGTAAATGTTAGTGTTGGTTCCAAATTGTGTCTCAATAAGCATTGATGGGAGAGCACCAACATTCCATATTCCTTTTGAAGTCAAAAACAGCAAATAGCCCTTCAAAAATGGAGGAGAAGAAAAGCACAATATAATCATTTGCACTATGAATGTCATAGGATTTTTAGCATATTTAATCTGAATCGTTACAGATGAGAGATCCTCAATTTGAATGATGACCGGGTTTCGTAGGTATTTGTGAGCACCTAAAAACTTTAAATGGTAGTTATGTCAATGGCTTGGAATCAGATCTTGCTGTTATCAAGCTTGGTGGGCCTACGGTTATGAGGAGGCCTATGCCCTATTGGCTATTGTGTAGCCCGCCAATTAAAGGAAAAAAAAAAAGTTAGAGCCCAATGCATTAGGCATCAATTCCAATAGGTGTCGTTCCTCTCTCTCCTGATGGATTCTTATTTCTTACCACTATCATCATCAATCTAGAGAAAACATCCATACCATGGAACTTAATAACAGCAAACAGAAAAGGGAAAAAAAAAACAATAGTATACAATACATTTTGTTGAACCCTTTGTATTTCACAATAGTGAAGTCAAGTTGCACTAGTGATGTCAACTCCTGTTTGTTAATCAGCAAAATTTTGTCTAATAAATAGAGGGAACACCTGCTCTTGGTACCAGAAGAATAGATGTTCCATCAGAAGCATTTTCAAAATGTTAATAGGTCATATCAAAAGTCACCTGCTGCCTACCAAGAACAAAATTCCAAACATGTATAAGACCTGTGGAATAATTGCACTAGATGATTGAAAATTCAGCTCAACTACCACCAAACCCTTTCAACCACATTTACATTATCTATCATTTGAAAGGTAAAGTGAGAGGAATATCAATTAAAGACCTTTAATATCATTGACAAGTGAATATCGGATACCTTAAAGTATCGGAAAAAGGGCGTCGCAACAAGCTCTTGTAGCAAAGGATGCAACACTGCCCTATTAAGACTATCTACGGTCTCATAATCACAACAACAGTCCTCAACAATGCCTGTATATTTACGAGAATCCTGCACAGGAAACAAGAGCACAGATATAAAGGGCAATAAACCAACACATCCAAGTTCTACTTGGTTTTTTTTTTTGCTTAGACTTAAGTTACAGAAGACAAACAAGTTTAATTGTCTAACCAAAAAGTCGGATCACGTGTCCAATCAAAACAACATGGTCCACAATTACAACACAGTTAGCCACTTGGAAATGAGTTAAAAAAAAGTGAAAATGAGTTCAATTTTCATTAAATTCAAGACTTCAGAGACCTTTGCTAAGTGCAATGGTAGAAGTTTGGGTCACCAAACACGAATTCCAATCCGAGTTCAATTGCTACGTTCACCTATTGCCAAAGATTAGGTATGGATCCAATCTACCTTCCTAGGATGCCTCATTACAGGACCAGCATTGTGTATTAGCATAATTCGTTGTCTTTTATGAAATAATGAAAACAGATTCGTTCTGCTTATGGTACTAATGGTAGCATTTCAATCAGTATACCTATCCTCTTCTAAGTTGTACCTCGTTACCAATTGAGGAATTTCACAACTATAAGCATACCAATAGCAAAAATAGAGTAATAACATGTAGATTTAATCTTATAGCACTCCAACATATTCCAAATACACAAAAGTGTGCAAAAGATAAAAATATATAGTGGGAATCTAGTTCTCATTCCACTGACCACTTCCCTTTATTCCTTTTCTGTAAGGAAATTCCATCTACCACTAGTCCCTTCACTATAACTACTCTCTATACATCCAAAAAGACCCACAACAACAACCCAATAGATGATCTGATATATAGACCCTCAAACTAGAGAGAGAGAGAGAAGATGAACCTGAGCGCAGCGGCAGGACTTGTGGGAAGCCCTCGAGGTAAGTGCGATTGCAAGTAGCAATGCTAAGACACACCCAATTGCTGCCCAGCCCCATCTCTTCCTACCATTCTTCTTCTTCTTACCATTCATCATCTTCTCTGCACCCATCTCAGCTTCCACCATCACAACTCTGTGTGTATATCATAAACGTAAATCAACAGAAATCTCCCAAATCAACAAAACCCTACAATTTTTCTCTATAGATGTCTACAGTAATTAAGATTCAAAGTGAATTCAATCTCATTTATGATTACTGAGCTGTTAGTTAGTGCTGTTGAATTCCGCATCATATTTAATAAAGCACAGTTTTTTTTTTCGGTAGGAGAGAGAAACGGTTTGCTGTCGGGGAAGATGAGCGTTGAACAAAATGGTAACTTAAGCGCGTTTAAATACGCACCAAGTTTGGCCACGCGTCAGCTAATAAGGGCGAGTAGTGGAGGAGTTTGGTTTGTGAGAGTAGAGGAGGTGAGAGTTGTAAAGTGTTCATTGGACAGTTCATTAAAGCGCGTCAAAGTTAAGTGAATGACGTTGGCTAAACCAATAAGAGCTCTCAATTTCAGCAACTTATGTTATGCTTGGCACGCCTACGCTGTATCCTGCCACGCCTTACCATTTTCCCTTGAAGTTTTTCTCTAGAATAACCCAAGAACAAAAGCCCAGTTCCCAGACGGGTCAGGCCCATAATTCTAAACCCCGATCACAAATCTTGTAAATATTCAGTGTAATGCTGATTAGTCGCCGTGGTCTCACCGATCAATAATATAATAATTAAGATAAATAAATTTTATTAATGTTATACTGTAATTATCAAATGTAAAAATTATATTTGGCTATAAAATTTGATGGAATTCACTATTCGACTGAGTTCGATTGATTTCAGAGGTATTAAATTTAAGAAAAAAAATGTTAGAGTTCGACAATTTTTAACTCAATGCTAAGGGATTGACACAAACGGATAACTATACAGGACTATTCATTTTCACACAACACAAGAAAAACACGATACGAATACGACCCAACATAACAAAATCAACCATAGTTATAATTGCATTGGAAAGATTTTTTTGGAAATTACATCAATGAGATATTAAGTTTGGAAAAGAAAAGAAAAATAAAATACCCTATGGTTAAAAAAATAGATAAAATAAAAGGGGAATTGGAATAGAGATTTTAACTGGAGAAAAATGGCACATGTGATACCTGATCATGCATTGCATACATATTAGTATAATTATGTGGACTAAATTATAATTATGTGAAATTATTAAAGGGTTAATTAAAGTAAATCCTTTATAGCCATGATGTGTGTGAGCATGCATCAAGTATGTGGACCATGTTAGTGACGTATTAGTGTGACCTATGCATTTAAATTTCATGTGTAAAAATAGAAGTGGTTGATTTCAAAATCACTTAAAAACTTGGGGGGGGGGGGGGAGGCAAGCCTAATTATCCCATTAACATAAGTCATCTTTACATGTGTTACACTATGAGATGGGAGAGTCATTTAAAGTGCAAAGTGACTCTCTGTGTGTGTTACAAAGGTGTATTAATGTGTGTGTGTGTACTTTAAGATGTAATAATGTGTGTGTTTAAACAATAATTCAGTGTGTGTGTGTGTGTTATTTTTTCTTGTTTGAACCAAGAGTGAGGGAGAGTAAACAAAAAGAGAAAAAATATATGTGGGTCTATCCATTTGAGCCGAGAACAAGGAGCAAGAGAAGGAGAGAGAAATCAAGGCTTGGTGGGAAATTTTAGCTTAAACTAAGAGGAAGAAGAAAGAAGGAAAGAAAAAAAAGGAGGAACTTTGGGGATCTCCATGCCAAACTGAAAGTGAGAGAAAGCAAGAAGAAGGTGGGGAAGAAGAAGGAAGCAAGAGAAAGTAAGAGTGTGTGTGTGTGTTATGTGTGCGCTGTTTTATTTTAATTTATTAGACTGATTTATTTTAATTTCAAAACAGGTTCTTTTTTGTGAGTTTAAGTAAGTATATTAAACGTAATTAAAGGGCTGTTACACATGGGTTCCAAATAAGTATTAAACTGAAGGTGAGAAAAATGAAGAAGATGACCATTTGAGATGTTCGTGATACTTTTCGTGGGCTCGGTTAGAACCGGAATTATGAGTGTGAAATGGAGAGTTTACGGGTGCAATTAGGGGGCTGTTTGCATGATTAAATGTGTCTATGAGTTTAGGTGTGGTTGTTTGAAATGAAAAGTGCGATAGAGGTTGGAAATGAGTGTCGGTAATACCGAAACCCTGATTTATAAACGTTATTATCACATATGTGAATTTTGATCCAATTAACTCAAAATTTTGCATGCTGCATTTTTAATTGATGTTTGATATGATAATATAAATTTCGAATGCAAAAGAATATTATATCCGGTGCGAAATATATGAAATATCGAAAGTGTGATTTTTAGGATTTGAAGTCGAAATGTGTGAGAATGGACCCCCAGTCAATGTGTTTGACATACTAAATCCTAATTGTGCTTAATGTGAGTGATTTAGAAGATTTTGGGAGAAAATGTGGTTCCTAAATCTACTGTGTTAGTGTGTGAGTGGACAATGCAGTAATCGAGATTACCAGGGCACTTTGAGTTGAATCATCTTACATGCATTAATGCATAATTAATTATTAAATGTGATAATCATATTGATATTGTAATTATATAAGTGTTAGGTGAAACAGGTAAGACAGATACGGTAACACCGAAGGGATCCATCAGTAGGTCCGAAGGCCTGTAAATATGTACATTGTGGTGGGTGTATATCTTTATATTTTTTAAAAAATGTTATTATAATATGATAGTAAATGATAGGATTTAATAACATTTCTCCAAGATTATGTGTTATATGCTTATGTGATTGAATGATACTTTGTATTGTGTATTGTGTATTATAGAATGCAGCACACCGTTTGAGACAATAACGTTGATGCTTGATCACTAGATGTGCAGTGGTGTGCTAGTACTATGGTGTTCCCGGGAGGTTTGGCAGACACGGATTCATATGGGATCGAATACCCGATGAGGGGTAGTATGAATGTATTGTGGTTTGTGAATTCTCTAAAATTGGGTTGATATTATTGTTTAATACGTGTATTTACATAATATCTACCTACTCTTGTGTATTACTATCATTTTTATTTTCATTTTCATATACAACATGTGTACTCATTGAGTGCGTGGTTTAGCTCACACCTCTATAATTTTTCTTTTTTAGGTCTTATAGAGGAAATTATAGATCAGTCCATTGTTCAGTCACTTGAATACTGTTTAGTGAAATTGAGTTCAATCCAGACTGATCCAGTGAAATTAATGTGATATTACCTAGGTTGTATGTCTGTTAATTATGTATTATGCATTTAGTTTTAATAAGTTAAGTAATACAGGTTGAGTGTTTGTATAATTATTTATTGGGTTGTATATTAAATTGAGTGAGAGATTATTATAGTTGGTTAATAGTATATATATGCTTAATGACTCAACAAGCATACTTTGTGATATATGTTATGTGGGAGTAAGATTTTGTATATATTTGTAACATGGGAAACCAACAATTAGTATATGTGTTATATATGTTACAGGTTATGAGACATGTTTTACCATCATACTTAATGACTAATGTGATAGATAGTTTTGTTGTACCTGTAAAATTATTTAATATTTTGTTAGTCTAATTTATATATATATATAAACAAGTATATCAAAAATTTAGTCGCGTCACACCTTTGAAAGACTGGGATAAGGCATAACCACACGTGTAAAAAAAATTGTTATTTAGAACTACTTTGTTAGGAGTGTAAAAAAAATTGTTATTAAGAACTACTTTGTTAGGAGTACTACTATTAGGACCTAAAATCTAACTTAATCTGTTATTTTTAATGTTTGATGGGATTTCACAGACAATCTATGGACTATAACAAATTAGATTAATAAATTAAATTTTAATAACATTACTTTTTTTTATTGATCATGGTGGAAATCAATCTCATGATTAAATTTAGGCTTTAAAATATTAAAAAAAAAGTTATTTTTATTATTAAAAATTAAATTTTTTATATTATACCCTCTATGTATTAAAAGTATTGTAATAAAGCATTTTCTCTAGCTTTTGTTGTTTATTCTTCAAAAAACACTGGATTCACGTTGATGGAATGGGCAAGAAAAGGGTCAAATTGTAATAATTTGAATATATTTATTGTTAAATATAAAAAACTTAATTTTTAAAGATAAAAAATGAGAATTTTTAAATTTTTCTGGGTGCAGAATACAATTAGCTCGAGGCAAAGGAAAAGTTTAAAGCGGAAAGAGAGAGAAGACGTGAGGCGGTGACAGAGAAAAAGATTGCATGTGTTGTGTGTGGAATCTCCTGTGCCTTATATAAGACTTGTCGAAGAAGGGAGAAGATCTAAGTAAATTTTAAGGTGAGAATGTTCTTCCTTTATCGTACAGTTACTTCCGATTAATCCAGTTGTTAGGTTTAATAAAAAACTAATTCCAGTGTTTATTTTTGATCTAAATCCTCTGAAACTTAAAAGCGGTGGAGTTTTTACACGCTAACTTATCTGGGTTTTTACTAGTTATGGTTTTTAGATGTAACAGAGTCGGTTGTTTTCGCCGCAATCACAATGAAACTTCTATTTCCTTGTGCCCCAAGTAATGTCAAAGTCTAAAGGTCTTTTGTGTTCATCAATCTTTTCATTTTCCCACCTTTTTCTCATCTGCCAAACAGAGCTTAATTGGAATTTGGGTAATTTATATTGAATTTTTAGTATCAACATCGACGCAGTCGCTGCTGTGTAAACCTACGTGTATCGGTTTTTTAAAAAAATTAGCTTAAGAAATAAATCTTCATTGGTTCTGTATGAGTTTATTTGGGCGAGGAATTTCGCTTTCTAGTAGAAGAAATAAGAACAATTCATGCTAAGATATGTTTTTTCCATCAGCCTTTAGTATACAATGTCATGCTTGGTTGATATACAATTTCGTGCGATTGTTGTTTAACATAGTGCAAAAAATCTGATCTTTTAAGGTGATTTCCTGTCAGTATGGCTACAATGACTGCAAGTGCTAGTGCCATCTCACCTCAGCTACCTATAGGTACGTGGATATCTTTTATCATTTTGTAGACTATAAATAATGTTTTTTACAAATAATTTTTTGGCTACTTAATTCATTGTGGGCTTTAGATAGACGAATTTCGTGTAATGCTAAAAGGGTCATTAGTAATTCAATGGTTGACATAAATTAGATCCTCACATTAGATTTCCACTATTAACTATTGGTGTCAAGGAATCAAGTCTAGTGTCAACATGAAGTGCGTGTGTTGTGCTTGTAAAATAATTCACCAATGAAAGGTTTTTAGTCTGATTAGAAGTCCTGTCGGATGCAAACCCAGGATGAGAATTTGGTTATATTGTTGAATCTGTAGGAAACCCATCATCATAGGTGAAAAAAAAATCCCATTTCGGATAGGTAAAGAAACCGAGTTGAGTACATAGACATAGAGTGGGAAAAACTACTTTGACCTTGAGTTTGAGCTTAAATTTTTGGATCAAGTTTGAGGCCAACTGTGTATAAGTCTGGATTATTATGTATATCAGAGTCCAAAAAGCTCCTTGCGAATTTTTTTGAAAAAAAACTAGCAAGTGCTACACAAAAATAGTGCACAAAATGGGTGGCTAGCAAGTGCTATACCAAAAGATGGGCTTAGGAAGAGCTAGCAAGTGCTTCATCCAATAGGAAAATATGACTCACATGTGAGGGTCGAAAAACAACCAAGAAATATGAATATAAGTGGCAACTTTATTCAGTCAATCAGGAAAGGTTCCAAATTGTGAATACCATGGCAAAGTGACATACAGAATCAGACCAAGAAGAGGTCTTGACTGACATGACTAATTTTTCATGTGCAATGCTCTTGTGCCATTGTACTGAAACTAAAAACTATGCATGACAGTAGCTTAATTCTTTCTTATATACTTGACACTCAAAGATTTTGTTGACACTTTTTTTTTCAGATAGATTTTGTTGACACTTAAATAGCATGAATAATGTTTTGTCCATGCTCTGTTAACTAGCTCTGTCATTCAGTTATTTTGTTATTTAATTAGCTTCAATTTTTTCTTCTACTGGGCAATTGGGCTTTACCTGGTTGCCGTATTCCTTTTTAATATGTTGTCTGATATAAACTTCAGGTAATTTATCCCTTATCAGTATGGCTGCATTGGCGTCAAGTGCTGTTTTCTCAGTTAAGATAAAACCAGGTAACTGGATTTTTTAATCATCTTTTATAATTTAGTGTTGAAATATTTCTTTTTATATTTAATGACACTGACAAAAAAAAAAGCCAGTAAGGTTTCTGAATTTGAATGGAGAACTACTGTAATTATGATATGTCACATTTGCACATTGTTTAGATTTTTTCTGCTGGTTTTCTCATACGAAAACGTTGCACATATTGAGTCTGATTATATCAACAAACTAATATGCTTCTACAGTGACAATTGATGATCTGTTCGAGGGGCAGAATCCCTTGAATAAGCATACTGGATCTGGTCGTGTGCGGTTTTGTACACAATTTCTACCTTTCGACAGTAGCAGGGTGGCCATCCGGGCACGTGCTCAAAGTATTGATACAAGAAGACCCATCACTCTTGCTACTAGAATGCAGTCTGCTTCTTCAATATGTGCAGCAGCTTTAGTGAGTTTATCTTTGAACATTCTTGTCTCCTAAATTTTAAATTTATGACCCCAGGAGATCATGACAAGTTTTACTTTTTGGTTTCTCTCCTTTTACATCTGAATGGACAAATCTATGCACCTTAATGCTGGAATCATGAAAATTAAACCAGTAATCTTGGAAAACTTATTTTTTCTAGTAAATTGTGGATGAAGATCATCCATTTTTATCAGGATTGGTAATAAGGTTTACCTTTTGCTTCAACTGAACATAGGAAACATGGGGTACTGAGGTTCCCCTGATAGGAATGTGCATGATGATGCCATATCACTTCTTAGACCAGTCCAAAAACTGGTCTGTGGTTTATGCCGGAGTTAATAATAATTTTCTTCCTACTATAGAAGGATCAACGCATGGATCAGGGTTTCTGACTCGCACAAATAGGCTAATTGCTATGCCTAAAAGTAAGCATTGGATGAATGCCTGGGCCTTGAGATTAATTACTTTCTTGTAAGGGCAGGTTTAAGCTTATACACATTAGCTAAGAGCTAAGAAACTATTGGCTATATGCTTAACACATGCAAGTCAGACTATGTGTAGAATCAATTGGAGAATACCCATCCGCACCTGAATTGACTAAATCTAGGGAATAAATCTTTTTAGAAGGCATGTCGACAAAAGCGGACTGAGAACCATAATGCGAGCACCAATACGCTAGCACAAACAGCACTACTAACAAACACTAGGCTATAGTTCAAATTGCAGAATAAACAGATTGTATCCAGTCCAAGTCTCCGAGCACTCATTAGATAATAGGGGCCACACTTGGTAATTGCATTTGTTATTAGACATTCCATTGGACACCTTAGAGAAAAACTTACAGTAGAAAAAAAAAACAATGTTAACGCAGTTTCTTGTGTCTTCATTTCCTAGCACATTGTTAGAATTGACAGAAAGAAACAATTGAACAGGGGAGCTAGTAAAAACCAACATGCATGCACTTGAAGAGTTTTGCATAATGTGTGCTAGTTTTGTCGTCATCGATATCTTGGATACTTGAAAATGTTCAATGTGTTTAAGATTTTGAGCCATCTATAAATTTTTCACAGGATGCCAGATGTGCTGCACTCCAAACCCAGCCCAGACACACAGCACAGCATCAAAAGACAAAATCCAATGCTTCATCTAGTGGTAAGCAAGGGCTGTTTCTTTTCGGACTGATCATAGAAAGTTCATGCTTTTGCAGGATGTAATTTCCTATGATACTTAGATTATCTGTTCACATTTCTGCATTGGGCTCATTCTCATCATGTTATTTCATTTTTAAGGTTTTTTTCTGTTATTTGATATTACTTGTGATTTTTTTGACTAAATTCAGATGTGCTAAAGACACCAAAACTTGATACAAGTGGGCCTACATTACCACCTGATGGCGGTGGTGGAGGTGGTGGGGGAGGTGGCGGTGGAGAAAACTGGTCAGGCGGATTTTTTCTTTTTGGATTCCTTCTTTTTCTATCATATCTAAAAGATCTGGAAAATAAGAGGGGCTACAAAGAATATAGTAGAGGAGGAGTAGAATATTGATTTTGCAAATTCATATTGGTTTTCTTATATTCTTTTCACGGCATATATCACTCTAGATACTTGGAAAAACATGATCCAGCCGTTAAGCTTTCCTACCATTTTTTTTTTTTTTTTGGGTTCAACCGTTCAACTGTAAGGGTCGTCCGCATCAACTTACGCGTACCTCGACTAATTTTCTCTCGGGTCTAGTCAAAGACAGGTCATTCATGTCAGAATTAAGGTATTTATGAAGGATAAATCCTCCATGGCCTAACCTCAAAAGATTTTCAAGATTCAAACTCAAGATGTATGAGTTTACAATTCGTCTCTATTAAGGTTACTGCTCTAATTAGATAGAAATATTAAACTTCAAATTTTCTAAAGAGTATTCATAGCTAATTTATCTAATATTTTCGGTTACAAAAATCATATTTTTTGCATGATTTTAATGTCAGATAATTTAATCAATATACTCCTCAATGTAAACACAATTCTATTAATATTTTCTTATCGCTTTCTTCTTTCTTCGCTATTTCTCTCGCTTATTTTGTGTTTATTCACTTTAATTTTAAATTATGTAATTAAAAAAAAGAAAAGAAAAATAAAAATAAATTATTATTTAAAATATAAATATTACAAGATTATGTTTAATTTTTGATATTAGAGGGTGTCTTTAAACATGAAGTTTATTGCTAGTAATACTATAATACCTTGTACCATTTTTCAAACCCTCGGGGTGTGATCCAGTGTTGTGTAGATGTGTTTTTTCGTCTTCAGTGCAAAGGACTTGAGTAATTACTCAGCGCTATCAATATGATGCATAGCAATATTATTTTTTTAATAGTGAAAATAAATAAAAATGCCACATTTAATACCCTTTTTAACAGTTTAATCTTAATGGCTTCATAGTTTCCTCCAAGAAATGTGATCATTTATCCTAGAATTTATGTTATTATCTCGTAACAAATTTCTAATGCACTATTTGGTAGGAAAGATACAAAGTAAGAAAGATATATTTTATATCTTTTAAGGAATGAAAATAAAAATGATACACTTTCATTCATTTGTGTTTGGTTAGATCGATGAAAAATAAAAATAATTTTTTTTTTGTGCTGGCTAAGATTAGGGGTGACAATCGAGTCATGTCGTGTTGATTCATCACGGGTTTGTGCCGAATATTAGTTAAACCTAACCTAACTTATTTAACTAATTATGTCGTGTCGAGTTACGAGTTGACCTGTTTATTTTCGTGTCGTATTCGTATTCGTGTTAATTTACATAAACTTTAAATAAAAAATTTAACACTAATATTCTATTTTTTTATTTTTATTTTTTATTTTTTTCAGATATATATATATATATATATATATATATATATATTATCATTTTTTATATGAAATTGATGTATACATAATATATGTATATATTAAAAGATATATAGACAAGTAAGATACATCTCAACACAAATAATTAATTTTTTATCCACTTTTATTCAGATTTTGTAAGAATTGATTTTGGTGAGTTGAAAGGAAAGTTAATTCATCTATTTTTTCATCCTTCTTATTTTTTTTCCTTACCAAATATGATATTTTATTTATCCTTTCAATTTTTCATCATTTTATTTTTTTAGCATATCAAACGGAGTATGCGAGAAAACGAAATCGATTCAAAATTATGATTATAGTCAGAGGAATGCTGTAAACTAAGTGGACTAATTATGTTTTTATAACACTATTTTCCTGACTCAAACCAAATAACATAATCGTTCCGTCGAGACAAATTCTCATCATATATTGAATCAAAAAAAATATAGCAACTCCAAACAAACGAGTATAAAAAATAAAAACATTACAAATTTGGGTAAATTACACTGTTAGTTTCTTAGTTATGCCACTTATTGCATTTTCGTTTTTAAAGTTCTACTTTTGTCAATTTCGTCCTTCATCTTAACACATTAATTTATTTTGGTCCTTATCCCTAACTGTCGTCCAAAAAAATAACGCAAAAGGACACGCGAGTGTGGCATGTGAGAAAGTCTAAAGGGTAAGAGAGTCATTTAACCTTCCCCCTCTCTCGCTCTCAGTGTATCAATGCCGCAAGTATGCCTCCACCACGAAACACCATCTAAACCAAACACCTATCAACCACCAATCTCACTGCCAATAGTCAATTTCTCCTCTCCTCTCTCTCTCTCCCCGCACAGTTTTTTGAGTTAGATATCAATTTCGACATGGGAGCCGTGATGGTGGGGCGCTGGCTAAGAGAGAGAGGGGGACAATGAGAAGGGGCCATGTGCAGGTCTTATAAGATGCCAAATTCATGTTACAAGCTAAGAAGGAGGGAGGGAGGGAGGGAGAGAGAGATTTGGTCATCGTGGTGGGCTGTGTGATCGGTGTCAGCATCCTTGAGACAGCGAAAGGGGTTGTTTTTTCTATGAACCAACCCAAATCTCATTTTGCTCAGAATTTGAAATTGTTAGATCGGGTAGAATAATTTGCAATTACGGAACAAACATTAATGCTCTATTTGGTAAGAGAGATAAAAAATATAAATTATACACTTTTTATTTTCAAAGGAGGAAAAGTAATAATGATATACTTTTTTTTTCTTTTGTGTTTAGTAAGATAGAAGAAAAATAAAAATGATTAATTTTTTGTTTGTGTTTGATAAGATGGAAAAATTATTATTTTTTATTTTTTTAGAAATATATATAAACATATATTTTATTATTATATTTATAAATGAAATTAATGTATGTATAATATATGTATACTAGTCATAACCTGTGCCTGAAGGTACGATAAAATATAAAATTCGAGTGTCCAAAAAATTCTTCCCACTATATTAAATTTTTTCAAAATATATTAATTACAAATTAATTAAATATTAAATGATTAAATATATGATAGAAATGAGTGTTATGATATCTTTAGGGATGAAATATATAAATAATTAAATATGTAATAGAAATAAATGATGTGATTTGACGTTTGAGTCTGATAAATGGATGATGGGTGAAGTAAGTGATTGATGATGGTTTTGAGAGAAAAAATATGACTGAGATAAAATTCAAACACACTCCTCTTTTATTTTATAGATATCAAAAGATATATAAACAAATAAAATATATTTTAACACACATAATTGATTTTTCATTCACTTTCTTTCGAATTTTGGAGGAATTGATTTTAGTGAATTAGAAGAAAAAATTCATTTATTCACTTTTTCATCCATCTTATTTTCCTTTGTTATCAAGATAGTGTTCCTTAGTACATGTAGGGTGTTGGGGTGTGAATTTTGTTAGCCAGTAGAAAGTTGAGTTAGTTCCGTTGTGGGTGTTCGCAATGTATACAGTGCATAGGAAGAGAAACAAACATGTGATTGTTGTGCAAAGAGAAAAAGGTGGGGAAAAAGAAGAAGTGTGTTTGGTCCTGGTATATTGTTGCTCAGATTATTCTTCCCTCCTCTCTCACAACTAGCGAAGCCCACCACCACCACAACGTTGCCTCCACCCTTCTAACAACAGGGTTTTGTGTTGTTTAGAGAGGGAGGAGCTGGGTGTCGTGTGTTGTCTGGAAAGAAAAAGAACCACGGGTGTGTGTGTGTTTGTGTGTGCTATTTGCAATGTGAGAGAGAGAAAAGAAGCAGAAAAATTTGATGAGAAAGAAGAAGTGTATTTGGATACATGATTAATGTTTTCTAAACTTAGAATAAAGATATTTGGATATAGGAGTGTGTTGGATAATGACACAATTACCCTTAACAGCAGTCATGTCCCTAATATGTGCTAGTTTTACATTACTTTTTCAGACAACCGTTAGGGATAAGGACTAAAGTGTGTCAATATATTAATATGGAGGACTAAATTAGAATTTTAGAGATGAAAGTGCAATAAATGATAAATCTTAGGAACTATCAGTGTAATTTATCCTACAAATTTTTAGTGTAAACATAACTTTTTTTTTCACCACTTTTCCAAAAAATAAACTATGAAGCCATTATGTAAACATAAGTTTACTATTTCTTGCGCCGGAGAAGAAATAGTAAGAAAATAGTGTGGTCCCGAAAAAAGGGAGAATTATATTTAGACCCCCTGAAGTTTGTACGAACGTAACATTTAGACATTTGTTGTTAGTATATCCGTTAGTAAATTACATCCAGATCCCCTGAATTTGTAGGCATGTAATATTTATGTCTCTCAAGTTTAAAATATTATATTTAGACTAAAAATATATCAAACAAAGATAGAATATTAAATATTTTAAAATTTTCAACCAAAATTTATGTTATATTATGACATTTATTGAAATAAAATTAAAAATAAAAATCTAATTTTTGTTAAAAAATCATAATTAGTATACTATTATACTATCTATTGGAATTTAATTTGATCATTTAAATGACCAAATTACCCAATTAAAGGTAGAATATATTATATTCATTACAGTTTGACCCTTATTTGATTTTTTTAGTTTTATTTCAATAAATACTATAATTATATATTAATTATAACTTTTTAAGAAAAAATTAAATTTTTAATTTTAATTTTATTTCAATAAATGACATAATAGAACATGAATTTTGCTATTATGAATGATTTAGACCTATTGATTATTTTTTTAGTTTTATTCCAATAAATAATATAATTGTATACTAATTTCGATTTCTTAAAAATAAATTGACTTTTTATTTTTAATTTTATTTCAATAAATGATATAATTAACATGAATTTTGATTATAACATTTAAAATATTTAAAATTCTATATTTAATTAGAATATTTTTGTCCTAAGTATAACATTTTAAACTTGAGGAGTCTAAGTATTATATGCTTATAAATTTTAAGAGATCTAGATGCAATTTACGAATGGTCTACTGACGGATATTTGATTGTAGGAGTTTAAGTGTTACTTGTGTATAAATTTCAGGGGGTTTGAATGTAATATTTTAAATGTCAAGGGATCTGAATTATTAAGTGACAATTTTAGAGGGCCCAAGTATAATTCTCAAAAAAAAAAAATA